GGAAGGCAACTGATGAAATTCCACTGGTGCCAACACATTTTTGGAGCATTCCTAGGGGAATTTTTTCCCGCGAAATTTGAATGTTGAAAGTTCTTCCAAAGGGATTTTGTCCGCAGCGAAAATAACACATTGAAAAATTGAACTAGCCTCAGTCAATAACATACAAGACTACCCCCGATCGACAGAAAAAATCCTAACCTTAAAATATCAAAGAAAAAAAATCATTTTACTACAATAAAACAAGTATGTCAAGTCCAGTCGAAAGTATCCAGACGACCTTTCCATTTTCCCTGGCGCGTTATTACCCTACCCTAACCTCTCCGCAGTTGGTCGCCCAGCGTCTGGCGTTAGTCTGGCCGAGCAAGTCGATTTACCCGGCTTGGTAAAAATCCAAATGGACGATGACTCTTTACCAACCGCCACGGTGAATTGCTTCCCGAATAGCGGGAACTTCTACCGGCGCTTTTCAACCACACTCACTCTGATGTTCGAGTTTATAGTGGTGGTAAAGATAAAGATGTTGAGAGAGTGAGTGAGAGAGATAAATTCCGTATTTCCTCCTGCCTTCGCTCATTGGTTAAAGCTATTGAGTGTCGCCAGTGGTTGTGCGTCCCAAATACGATGAATCCCTCGTGGTTGTGTTATTTCAATCGATATCACTGTTGAGCCGATTTTTTCACAAATCGTCTTATCAGCATCGACCAAGCGGGACCTCGTCTACAAGCCACTCCCACCCTCTCCGCATCTATTCACACGATGATTTTTATGATATTCCATTTTTTTCTCTGCACAAACCAATGACGCCTTTTTTCTATCTATCGCCCTCCTCGGCCTAGGCAAGAAATCGTCCCCCCTTTTAGTTTTCCAACGCCATTCGATAGTGGATGGCGTCGTTGGACAATTGGACTATTCATTATTTAGATCAATTGCTCTCTTAATGAGACCATTCCAATCTCATCAAGACCCAGTTATCGCTCTCCGGTTTTTCAGATAAAAATATTCAAACCCCTTCGCGAACTTGTTTCCGGGAGTGTTCCTGATAAGTGCCGCCATTTTTTTTTTCACAGATCATTGCGATCAGTATCTGAAAATACTCTGGTCTTTCAGCAACTTGTATTTTTCCAATTACCAAACTGATAGTGATAATGTTTACTCGATCTATCCCATAGATGTTTAATCTTTGAACCATCATCCTATTTTTAAAAAAGGGACTTTGTTCTTCATTACGCCTGATCAGCTTCACAATTACGCAATATAATATTGCTATTTTTCTTACATAATGGTAAAGCGTCTTATCTACTCACCAATCCCAGTTTAATAAATCCGTGAACTACAAACTCTAGGCGCCACGCAACAATCGAATGATTTCTTTATTCGCGTTGAGAGAGATGGCAGTGACATATGGTGAATTGACGAGTGGAAAGTGAAAATTTACAACAAAAAATGTATACCGGAAGTGAGAGTCACGGCGGTGGTATGGAGTCACGTTGGCCACCACCCCCGCCATCAACGCCGAATGTACATTCGGAATCAGGACAGATTCAGCAGCAGTCGCATCCCCGTGTCAATGGTTATCAGCACGATCATTCGCCTTATGGTCCACCTCTGTATCAGCATCCCCATCGTCTCCCTTCCCAGGTAATGATGAATGATCAATCAGAGATCGATGATCTTGGAGATGTTGTTTCGAATGTTGTCTTTGTTAGCTTCAACATGATCATTCAGACTGACCAACTGCATCAATGTCAACAGAAAGTCTCTCGTGACTGTATTCTCATACCCGACATTGTTTCACACAACCCATGCTCCGTCAGACCATATGCGAAGGCTGCTCACCAGCGTGGGTGGAATAAAGTGTACGGTTGTCACGTGTGTTTTCATGAGTCAGTGCAGTTTATACAAAACAGAGTGGTTGTACCTAACTCTTTTCCTTTCTTCCCACCTTCTTTCCTACCTTTCTAACTTCCCTCCGGACATATGGCAAGCAGGTGATAGCTGGAGCTTTGTGTTGTTGTAGCCAACTCCTTTTTTTTTCGTAGGTGTTCAGGGTGAAGGGGTGAGAATACTTTTGAGGATTCAGTTTTATTGGGTGTGATTGAGATGGTGGTTTGGTGTTTTGGTTGATGAGGGTTGTTGATGGGTTGTCTGGCCAAATTCGTCATCGATTCTTGATCTTTCAAGGGAGTTGAATCAGCTAGATGGGATGATTTTGACAGAAGGAATCGCCATAACGGCTTGATGTTGGTGTCTTGCATCAATGACTTCGTCATCAATTCTTGACCAGGCTTAATCCATTCGAGGATCAGCTGTCATTCCTACGAGAGTCATTCCCTGTGATCAATAAGCTTTCCGCTGAGATCGTTTCAACAATCGGAATGATAAATAAGGGATTGAAGTTGGGTAAATTTGATGGCTTCTAGGAGGGGTTGTCTGAAAGGGTTGCGTTAACGATCCAGGTGAGCCTGTCGTCAACATTCTTCCATGGATTGGGGACAATCAGGTGTTCAACGAGAAAGTCGACATGATGAGGATACTTTCAAGGATTCCGTGTTACTGAATATAACTGAGATAATGATTTGGTGTTTTGGTTGATGAGGGTTGTTAATGGGTTGTCTGGTCAAATTCATCATCGATTTTTTACCTTTCAAGGGGGTTGAATCAGCTAGATGGGATGATTTTGACAGAAGGAATCGCCATAACGGCTTGACGTTGATGTCTTTCACCAATGACTTTGTCATCAATTCTTGACCAGGCTTAATCCACTCGAGGATCAGCTGTTATTCCTATGAGAGTCATTCCCTGTGATCAATAACCCCTCCGCTGAGATGGTTTCAACAACCGGAATGATAATAAGGGGTTGAGGTTGGGTAAATTTGATGGTTTCCGGGAGGGGTTGTCTCAAAGGGTTGCGTTAACGATCCAGGTGAGCCTGTTGTCGACATTCTTCTATGCTTTGGCGATAGTCAGGTGGGGAATTTGGAAATCAAGAGGTTGAAATCCTCCACTTTGCATACAATCGAAATCTTCATTTCTTTTTTCCTACAAGACGGCGACATTAAAGTCGTAGACTTCCGTTCCTGATGTCTCATTCGCGGTCATATTGCTTCTCTTTTTTTTTCCACTGTCGCCGGTGATAAATCAGAAAAAAAAGTGAGCATAGATTCAAGCCAAGGAGCCCGCGCTATTTTCCGTTCTACAACGAGATAAAAATGTGATTAATGGTCAGTGCGAGTCTCCACTTTGGTACAAAAAACCCATTCGCTAGAAATTTTCCAACCCCTTCTTACGTTTTACGTTCTCTCGCTACTTGGTTCCCCTTTAGACTCAAGAAAAGGAGTGGCTTATGAATAATTTCACCGGCCCGGTGACTGTCGTTGAACATTAAATCTCGATTATTTTTTCATAAAAACCCATTAACCTCCACCCTAAACTTCGAGTCACTACTGAAAATTCAATTGATCATTACAATCGTAAGAAATTTTCGACCCTGAATGTAAGAAGTCTGAAAATAAAGAATATGGAGATGATAAAAGGACAGCACTTCTGCTCCCACGAGGATTAACGTCGATCGTTCAACCCCTTCCTCCTCCCCCCACCCCCTCCGCCGTTCTTCTTCCTCAACTTCAGTCGGAATAAAAATAAGGGAAAAAAACGTGAGAGAAAGGGTGGAAATTTTCCTCAGATGCAATGAGAGAGTGGAAAACGAGGAAGAATAAGTGGTAGAAACTTGTGACAATTTCAATTCGTCCAGTAAAAACCAACCTCTCTTAAAAAGATGAGTAACAGAAAGCCATAAGATTCTTAAAACTTATCACGAGAATTTTTCCACCAATTTTAATTACAGTTTTACCATATTTTAATAAAAATTCCCGTCATTCCTTTTGCCTTCTTTTTCTTCAGTTTAAAGTCTTGAAGACCCGTGACATCACAGTTGTTCATCATCATTGGTAGTTGTTACTGTATATCTGAAGAAAGGACTGGTAATAAAACGTTTTAACCTCCTTCCCCATCGTTTTTTTCACCCACACAACTGAGAGTAGGTGGGGGTGGTACGGTAACACCTGTTCCCCCCTTCCCCCCAACCCGTTATCCGAATAAACCGTCTCTTTTATTTCACCTTTTGCTTCAACCCTTTTTTTGTACTGATGTGTTTTGTCCGGCAATTCATTTGTATTACATTGTGTGCAACTGTCCGTTTATAACCGAGGGCCCATTGATAGGCATGTAAATCAGAAGCTAAGTATCCCCTTTCTGAATAAAGAGGAAATGGTGAAGCGATCGTTCGATTCGTTTGATCGTCTTTCAAGTTTTAGGTAGACGAGAAAAATTAATTCCGTGAAATCGTCGATTATCGCAAGAACGAACGAGTTTACGAGAAAATATCATAAAATCTTTTTTGAAGATGGTAAAATTTCTCATAGAAAAGGTCTTCTGGTATTTTCTCTTAGCGCTACTCATAGCCGAGATAACTGCGTTCGAAAATTGAATGCCATTTTTTAATCAGTCACATGAAAAATTTCAAAAACACAAATTGAATCATCGAAGAGCGCAACAAATCATCATTCATAACCGAGGGCCAATTAATGGGCATATAAATCAGAAGCTGAGTGTCCCCTTTCTGAATAAAGAGGAAATGCCGACGCAATCGTTCGAGTCGTCCGATCGTCTTTCAAGTTTTGAGTAGATGAAAAAAATTGCTTCCCTGAAATCATCGATTATCTCAAGAACGAGTGAGTTTACGAGAAAATATCGCAAAATCTTTTTTGAAGCTGACAAAATTCCTCATAAAAAAGGTTTTCTGGTATTTTCTCTTAGCGCTACTCATGGGCGAGATAACTACGTCCGAAAATTGAATGCCATTTTTTAATCAGTCACCCGAATTATTTCACAAATACAAATTGAATCATCAAACATCATGACATCATCGTTTTATCCGTGATGGTTCAATTCGTATAACCCTGGTTCGCCAGTAAGTACAGCATACCAACTAACCCTAACAGTTCTTCTCGCAGATATTCATGCACAAGAGCGCTATGCAGAGTGCAATGCACGCACGTGATCTTGGGCCTGGTGGTCTTGGTGGTAGGCCTGGTGTACCTGGTCTCGGTGGTCTTGGTGTTGGCGTTGGACCTGGTGGTATGATAACTGGTAATGAAGTGAAACCACATCAGTGCCAACAGTGTTTAAAATCATTCTCGAGTAATCATCAGTTGGTGCAGCATATCAGGGTTCATACCGGTGAAAAACCGTATAAATGCAGCTACTGCGATAGAAGATTCAAACAGCTCAGCCATGTACAGCAGCACACGAGACTTCATACGGGTAAGTCTTTATTCTTGATGATTAATCGTTTGTTTCATTATATCATTAACATCATTTGGGGATTGCTCAGGAGATTCTCCGAAAGAAATTCAAGCGGCATGTGATATAGTCTGGTTTATTTGTTGATTATTGCAAGAATGAGTGGGTCTAGGAGAAAATATCATAAGAACTCTTTTATAGTTGATAAAATTCTACGTAAAAAAGGTTTTGTCATGTTTTTTCATAGAACTACCCATTCTTGAAATAATAAAGGATTTGAAAAACGCCGGAGAAATTGGACTTTTTCAAGACCTCTTCATCAATTCGATGATTATGTAGGGAAGTAATGATTTTACGAGAAAATGTCACAATTGTTTTGTAGACGATGAAATTCTATGTAGAATCTATGTAGGGTTTCTGGTATTTTTTGGTAAAACTACTCATTTCCAAAATAATCCGACTTTTAGAAAAAGTCGCCTAAATTTCATTGTTCCAAGACTTCTTTCTGAATTACCCGATTATCTCTAAAATTATCAACTCCACGAAAAAATATCATAAAATCTTTTTTATAGATGACGAAATTCCCTATAAAAAAGGTTTTTTCATATTTTCCAAAAAAAAAACATCTTCCGGAGATAATCTCCACCAACTGAATCCCATCCACCCAAAAACACAAAAAAACCGCATTATTCAGCAACAAACCTCCATCGCTAATGAATTTAAAATAAAAACCGAATCAACATTCGAGGATCAGAAAAGTTGAATAGGGATGGTAAAGGACGCCTGGGTTAGTATCCGTGCATAACCTTTTTTCAGAAAGAATTTCATTAGAGGATGAAGGTAGTCACTCGGAAGGGATTATCCCGGGAAACGGTCAAGCTCTTGGGCTTCGGGGGTGCCACAACCTTTCCCTATGGTATAAAAATCTCGTTGGACCGAATTAAGATTCACTTTACTCTCCCCCCCCCCCCCCCC